TCATTGAACTCTTCGTTAACCATTCACTACTGATTGATGACTTTTTTGTTCGTCCATTCTTTCATCTTCCTAGTAGGAGGTGGGCATAATGTTCCAAGCAATTTTTAAGTTTCAGTAGCCCTGATGGTGTGTTGTTTTTATGGGATGGGGTTGCTGGCTTCATTCATTCCCAACCTAACTTATTTTCTTGACTTACTATGGTGTGGGATTGCATCGGTCGAAAATCAAACACAGACTTTGTGCTTGGCTACACCACCTAAATGAAAGCTAGGAGTTTTAACTGCTAGACCACACATTTGTTTTTCACTCACTATGTATCTGTTCTCAGCTAATCCTTGTCACAAAGTAGTAATTAGTATAACTGAAATATTAAATATTTTTAATGAATAAAGTGTTTAAGTAGTGAAACATGATCCACTAGATACTCATTATATCCAACAAATGGTTAGGTTTCTTTCATGAACCCAACATCAGTTAGAGAGATGATTGAAAACCAAGGGGCATTGTGGCAACTGCTTCGACCATGTTTGGTACTCTTCATCAGTGCGTACTCATGACCACACCGGGGATCGAACCTGGGATCTTCAGGTTACGAGACCCCAGTCTCTTTGACCACTGATGGCTGCTAGATAGATGTGCTGAAGCTGTAATGAAGAGTTGTGACCAGCCAGGGTCTATCATATCAAGTTGCAGTGGATGCTTATCGATGGCATTAGTAGTGTGTGGGTAGCGCTATATCACTAATTGACAAAGACATTTGCCTTATTGAATCACGTTTTAAGAGACAGTTTCAGACTTTTGATATTCAGTGAGACTGACGGACTAGTGTTAACGTAGAGCCTTACTCAGATGTGCACCAGTTCGAGTTGCCACAACCCGTGTAGCACACAAAGCAAGAGAAGAGAGTAAACAGAGATTCAAAAGAGAGAGAGAGGTAATAAACAGAAATATGAGGCAAAGAGAATAGTAAAATGTAAGGACAATAGAATTTTATTGAATATTATAAATCACAAAGAGTACATGCATCTGCACCGTCGCGAGCGATTTTGAGACATGTCGCCGACTGTCTCCAACCACTGGTTTTTATCATCTGGGGTGCCGCGGCAATGCCAAATCTCAAAAGAAAAAAAAAAAATCTCAAGGACCCGATTCAGGAAGCCTATATTTCCCTACGTGGCTGGCTGGCTTAAACTGACTTTTATAGATTTTATTGGCTGATGAAGCCATGTTCTGGTTTAACCATCACTGGCTCTTTTCCCACCTGATCAATCCTATATCAGTCAGCTAACACTGCCCGTCAGTCGAGAAATGCAATGGCTAAACATGCGTAACACATGTCGGTGTAACTTTTCATACCCAGTGAGAATTATATACTGCTTCCAGCACTCATCAACATCTCAAAGGTTATTTTAGATGCAAAAACTAATATGTGTGGAAAAAATAGACGTGTTTTAAAAAAATGGAATCAATGCGTTAATAAAATCTCTTTTTACTCTTGTGTTTTAGTTTTATTATTATAAAATTTTGTCATATTTTTGAAGCCTTGTTTCCCATATCATGGTGGCATAAGTAACTCTAAGAAGTTAATTAACACTTATAGTGCATACTAGTTGTGATACACAGAATCAAAAGAAGCAAAAATAAGTGGTTCAGCAAAGAGGGTTCTTTTTTCGGCGAATTCATTTTCTTTAATTGTACAATAGCACTTATCTTTTTTGTGATTATGACTTGATTCTACACCGTCTTTTTGGTACAAGTATGGAATTTTCAGCATATGATATCAGTAGTCCAAATTCTGCGGGCCGACCAAGTGATGTCAGGTGTGCTTTGGCAGGGGATCAAACCCGGAACCATTTGTATGGTCAGCGAGAGTCTTAACGGCTGTGCCACCGACGTAATTTGTTTTGTTCACAGAAGAGTATAGTAACAAAAGTGATGAATTGTCACAGTCATAGTTGTTAATATTAATAAATGCATAGGAGGTTGGATAAGGATTTTTCGCAATAGGATATATATAATATATATATATATACTATAATAAATGGGTTGTAATCAGGATGCAATTAGAAATAGCAGTAGAAAATATGATGTTACGTAACGGTTCGAGAGAAATACAGGATTTATAAAGATTTAGAAAACAAACAAAAATCAAGTTGGTAGGAAACAACGAGTTTGTTACCATGATAGTAGAAATGTTTGAATAATTTTCTTTTGCATACAAAGCTTCTGTTTCGCTTATCTTAATGGTCAGAACTTCAGCAAAGCAGCGGAGACGAAAGCGTATTGTTTCTGACAAGTTGTTCTTCATTTTGTAGATTAATTTATAGCAGGAGTTTATTGTGATATCTAATGATCAGTGTTGATAAGGTGTTCAAATATCGCGTCTACTTTTCTGCAACCATTCAGGATAGTGTTGTTGAACCCTTCCGAGACAAGGTGCGCGTTGAACGACTTACAACCCTGGCTCCTCAACTCGTCGCTTCCATTGCTATCCTCTAATGTGAAAAGAAAATTGTATATAAATGTGATTGTGCAGCTAAAAATGGAAAGTGGATTTACCAAATAGGCCCCCTTCTCTGAACTACTTGTTTTTTTTTCCACTAATGGCATGACGGCGACTATTCGTGAATTTAAAATCCAGAATTTGCACTTCATCAGAGCTATACTGCATCCCAGTGTACTTCTATCCCCTATACGTCTCATAGAATCCAACATCCATAGCTTGAAGTGTCAGAGGCTGTTAAGTTACAACGATTACCTATTTTCGTCCCGTGGATTTTTTGTGTATTATTTAGATTATCAGTTGTTCCCGGCTGTCTGCTCTATACGATTGCCTTCATTTCTATGTAATAAGGTTTTATAGACACGTCCGTATTACTTATTATAAGAGAACTTTGTTATATGTATTGGTTAAATGAAGACTGAATGTTTTATCACTCCATCAATACATGTAAACACAGTAGAAGCACTTCAGATGCAGCTGTCGTCTTTTATCATAACATTGCTTCCAGTCTAGACAAGGGGGCTAAATTTGTTCGTTGTGCCTTCCTAGACTATACATCTGCTTTCGACTCAGTCCCTAGGGACATCTTATTCAATAAACTTGCTGCAAGTCAAACAGAATGTTGGGCTGTTAACTGGTTACATTCCTATTTCTCAGATAGAATGCAGTACACAGTATATAAAGGGAAGTCTTCCACTTCATTGCTTAGTGAAGCTGGTGTCCCTCAAGGCGCTGTTCTTTCTCCTTTTCTTTTTTCTTTCTTCTTGCATGACTTGCCTCACTCTGATGAAATAAACTTTGTGAAGTACGCTGATGATTTAACAGTTTCAATGGCTGTTAACTCCCAGCTAGACTGTAACAAAATAAATAGCTTTCTGTCGGGATTCAGTAAATGGTCTGAGTCTAACGGTCTTAAACTGAATCCTTCTCTATGTGAAACTGTTAATTTCAGCTTAAGATGTAAAAAACAGTTAAAAGAAGTCATCGATTCTCATGACAGTTGTAAGATTGACGACAGTGGTATAGGAATTAAATCAGAAATTAAGTATCTTGAACTTACTCTTTCTTCTGATCTCTCCTGGTCTTCCTATGTCTTAGCAATCTCCATTAAAATATTCCGCCTGACATTTGACATTAAGAAGTTAAGGCACTCGGGTATAACTCAACCAACCCCTTCTCTTACAGTTCATAAACTCTTGCATCCTACCTATTCTTCTTTACTGTTTACCCTTATTCTTTCCTGGTTTGCCTTCAAAGGACTATGTCACAATTCGTAGAATGCTGAAGACTGTCAGTAGGGTGAGTGGTGTCCCAGTGGACTACATAGTTAACGTCGTTGTCGATAGGCACTTGACTTCGTGCAATACATTTGCTAGAGAGATTTTGTCTCACTTGGAGCATCCACTTTACCCTCAGCTTTCACCTTGCATCTCTTCAGGTAGAAGAAGAAGTAACTTCAGAAAACTGTATGCTCTCACGTCTAAGTATAGAAATTCTATGATACCATACTTGGCACGTATTTTATGTGATAGTGAAAATAGTGTCAGGCAAGAATTAACTAACTTTTTTTCATCCAGTAAATAAATAATTTCCTCCATCCATCCTTATATACATTCAAGTTTAACTTTTGTTATTTCTATTATATTTATGGTCCTATTGCTTCTTTGTTTTACTCTCATAATTGTAAGCACCAACTTATCTCTATGACTGCTGTAATCTTTGTTTTTCCCCTCACCATATCCTGTAAAGAGAACATTATATTCAATATTTTTAAACATGCTAGGATTTCTATACAGCACTGGAAATACTGTGTGAAGCAGACCCATGACAATTTTCACTTTTATTTATTATTATTACCTTAGCTGTTATCATTATTATTGTTATTTCCATTTTATATGCTGCATGTTTTTGGAAAATTTTCTGTATGATTAATTTTATTTATAACTTGAGGAAATTAGATGCAGTAATATTGTGATTAATGCTGAAAATTCCATTCTGTATCACAAGTACTATTTTTGGAATAAAGTAAATTATTATTATTACATCATCATATCTTCCTTCTTTTGCTTAATTTCCTGTTTCAATCTTATTATAAATTGTTTCTAATATCAACTGAGGTGTTTACCGCTTACGATAGTAGTGTACTACTTCATCTTTGCGAATGATATACTACTTTGAAGTCCTTTTTCTCTACTTACCTCTCTTCATTCAAATGGATTACATTACTTACTGGCACGTACACTATAGGTTGTGAGTACGATTGTTCATATTCTTTAAGTGATTCGGTTGCATATTAATTAATTAGTTTTCTTGCATAAACTTCTAAACACAGAGCTTATAATTGAATTACTGTCAATATATGCGTATATATATATATATAATATTTCATTAATATACTGTCATATAAATGCAGTAAAATAATCGATTTATTTGTTTTTTAATGTTTTTTTGCTACCTTCCCCCCCTCCCGTAATATGTGTTGCTGAAATACACACAGTCATGTTCTGAATTTACTCATTATACTCGTGGTCAAATTGGACGATGGCAACGGATATTTCATAATCAAGGTGAACGTTGTGCTTTACTTGAACAAATGATTGAACAACTTGCTAAACAATTACGTCAATTAGAATGTTTAACAAAACAGAATAATCCACAGTCGACAGTAACACTTGGTTCTACAAGTAAGTTGATACTTTTCTTATTTAGTCTTTACTGTTTCTTTTTTTTGTGTGTGATGCCTACTTGTTGTATCTGTAAACTTTTAATGTCCTATCTAATGATTGATTGTCAACGCTTGCCTAATTATGAGGCTAGCTCTATTGTAGAGATAAAAATAGTAACAGTCATTTTGTGTTTATTTTATAAATTACTTCGAGTCATATTATGAACTCTTGCAACCTATTTTTAAATGAATTGAGATTTTGATATATATATTTTTTCAGGATCTTGTATCCTATTATACTCCATTGTAGTTGACGTTTCAACATTAAGTTCATACCTGCCTTAACTTGATGGCTGCTTGGTAGTAGGGTATTATGCACTACAGAGTAGTGCCGCGTAAATCCTTATAAATCTAATTTAACAGCTATATAATGGTACCGCATACCAAGTGATTCGCAACTGAAAGCTCAGGGAAGCCTTTAAAGTGAAGACTGGAGTAAGACAAAGCTGCCTATTATGGTGATTATAGTAACAAGGTATGGGATGGATCATACAACATACGGTGGGGAGGTAGAAGACGAACATATATTGAACTTATGAGAAGATACTGAGAGATCTGAGCTTCGCAAATATCGAATGTCACAGTCGAGAACCAACAAGTTGTTAAAAGAAGCAGTGAAGACAGAACTTCAGGTGAATATAGAGTAGACAGAGGGGATGTATATGCCTAAACAATAGCAAGAACCAGTCACAATCAACAAGAGAAATTCGAAGGATATTACCTCTTCCACTTATCCAAACATCATCGTTTCAATTACAGGCGGAACCAAAGAGGATGTCAAACCCACTCACACTCCGAAAACCAAAACAGACATTCACCACTCAGAAATCAGTGTGGAGATCTGCTGCACTCAGTACAAGGAAGAAGATTCAGATTTTCGACACTAATGTCAGGTATTCAGTCATTCAGTGCTTTCTTCCTTCTATATGGTTCAGAGTTTCGGTGCACCGGTCAGTAAAAGCATTTCTAACAGTCTGGTGACTTTTGTCAAGATTTCCCTGAAGACTAGATGGCTGACCGGAAAGAACAAGGAAAAAGAAATTTCTAGCAATACGATGAGCCAGTCAAAATCCTATTGTCCAGCAAATCTGCAGAAGTATATGCAGATGAATTCGACACTTGTTGAGGAGATAGTTTGTCGACATCATGCGTCAATTCCTAGAGTGGGACTCGAATGGGAAACGGCTATTTGACAATCGGTCCGAGGGTGACATGGAGGAGATCATGTAAAGAGGAAATGAAGGCTTATACGCAATCGCGTAGCTAGTTGAAAAAGGCGGCAGAGAACAGAGTGAATAGAATGGGAATGATAATAATATGCATGAGAAGTCGTTATACTGGTTTCTTTTCTTAATTTTAGAATCATATTTTGAATTTTCGCATTTTTTTAACAAATTTATCATAGGGAAATACTTGAACTTCTATCACACTGGGTGTAATTTGTGTTATCCTTCATTCTTCATGAGATTTTCATTTAATGTTTTCATATGAATGTAAAAATGTGTGTTATACTTCGTGTTGTGTGCATAATTATGCTACAAAATCCATCAGTTTATCTGAACAACTTTAAGGCATAAGACAGTTGATACTCATATAACATTTTTAATAGTGTAATTGGTTTAATTGGTTTTTTGTTTCTTGTGTGGTCATGTTTTCTTGATTGACATATGATACATAATCACCACCTCATCAAATGTGTATACAACTTGACTGACATTTTTTGCAAAATCATTTCTTTTAGTCTAAATTTTCATATTCCTACAAAATTCCCCTACAGAATTGATCAGGTAGTTTAATTTTGATATACGCAAGCACTTCATCTTCCTGCATATTCTTAAAGTGATATTTAAGAATAGAAAATAAGGTGAACTCCTAATGTGTTTCGTAGTCTTGTGGAAGAGGGCTTTAGATATTATAATAATTATTATTACTATTATGTTGACTTCTATGATAAAACGTGGTGTTTCCTACAAATTAAGCAATTATGAATGCCATTAATGAATGAATGAATAACATATTGATGTTTTCTTTGGATATATCCTCTACTATTCACAAATAACATTCTATCATCAATGGGATTAATTCACTTCATCAATTAGTAATATTTCGAAGTGATATCTGGCAATATAATATGCAGGGACATTTCGTTTAAGACGGCAAGTTTTCATCTGAAGTGGAGACAACTAGTGGTGTCCGTCAGTGATGCTCACTATCCCCATTTCTATTCAATTTCATCATAGATGTACTAATAGACTTAACCCTAGCTCACTTCACAGAAGCAGGGGTTGACTTGTTACGACGGAATAATCTTGTTGACTTAGAATATGCAGACGATATAGTCCTTCTGGGCGAGGACGCTGACAAAATGCAGAGTCTTCTGAATACCTTGAGCTGCAATCTACGAATGTTTGGCATGTGATTCGCTCCCGGTAAATGTAAGATGATGGTACAGGATTGGACTTCATTGATTCCTAGAGCGTGTTGACCACTTTGCTTATTTGGGAAGTTGGATCAGCCAACGCCAGCGGGTTGATCGCCGATGAAATCTCAACACAGATACATAAAGCTAGTTTCGTATATGCCAGTTTACGGTGTCTCTGGCGTAGACGTGATATTCGGCTAGCTGTCGACCAAAGGGCGTTTGTACTGGAAAAGGGCCAGTGGTGGTCAAACGATAACATGACTTCATCAGTCAATGAAATCCATAACAGTTATTTTAAACCACGTAGAAAGGTGTAAACTTCCTGGTTGGGGTGCTTGGGACGGTAAACACCAATGGTTAGAGACAATTGGTGATATGGCTGAAAATCGTTCTGAATGCATTCACTCCTTGTGACTTATAATACCTAATGAGACTATATTGTTCTTCGATATTACTTTTCTTTTTGCCTCATGTCTCTGTTTACTCTCTCTATTTCGCGTTTCTTTTTGCTTTGTTCTCTGGCTTTGTGTGCTGAATGAAGTATGGTGACTCGAACTGCTGCACATCTGTGCAAAGTTCTATGTTGAAACCAGTCAACCAGCCTACATATATAGAATATCTAAATTGTATTGACGTTGAAATAATCTAGCTCTGTTCTATTTAATTGTTTACCTATCCTGTGTTTTCAGTTCAGCATATTTGTTTTGTTTTCTTAAAAAAAATCATAAAATACGAAATTCATGCGATGATTAGATAGGCTTATCTCCATGTGACTGAACACACCATCTTAGTAGTAAAAAGGAACACAACTATTCTTGGTGTAAGTCAGTACTTTAAAAGTTCATATATTGATCAACATGTAATTTGTATGTTCACAAAATATATGTATCATATACAAGTTGCTAAATTTGATAATTATTGTTATTCGAAACCTGTTCACTTTACCAACTGTGTGAAGACGGATCTGATTGACTGAATGAAATACTTGATTCTGAGACTTTAGGGCTTTAATTCAAATCCCAATTCACCTACTTCAGCCTTACACAATAATTGTAACTCAAAGCATGATACATGGGAATATCTTTCCGGGTAACTGGGTTCTACCGACAAAGTTGCCTACTATACCTAAAGATAAGAGTGTTGAGTGGTAGAGCATTTTGATCACTTCTTATTTGGAAAGTTACATTGGCTCCAATGGACTGATTACTGAGGAAATCTCATCATGGATATACAAAGATCATATGGCATCTTCCAAATTACGTCATCTCTGGCTAAGACATGTTATCTGGTAGTCGATCGAAAAAACCTGGGTACTGCACAGCAGTTCGCGTTGTCCTCTTTTATGACTGTCAGAAATGTCCATTGAAAATGGAAAATATGAGAAGCCTAGTTGTCTTCGGATTTCTGTCTTTCGTGGTAGGGTATATATTGTGATGAGCAGTATTGAGGTTAGGCATAAAGTGTTAAATAAGAAGGGTGTGGCTGTGAGTGTGAATTGATTGAGCTGGCTGGGACGCGTGTTTCTCATACCGCATCGTCATGTTCCTTGTGAAAGAATCTTAGCTGACATATAATTAGGTTGGGGAAGAATTAGGTATGATCTCATAAAAACGTAGTATTAATCTATAAAGTTTTTGACTTTTCGTTTGAGCCAACCACGCAGTGAAGTGTAGACTACCTAGGTTGGGGTATTCGGGATTCTAAGAACCAATGGCTTGAGACTATTAGTGGCATGAAGCAGACGCATTCGCTCCATATAGTCTTTCATATCCACTATATCGTCATGTCCTTCATGTTACCATCTCTCTTTCTCGCATACCTGTTCATTGTAGTCTTTTTGAATATTTTGTCTCCCTTTTGTCTAGCTTTGTGTGCTACATGTAGTGTGACAACTTGAACTGCTGTACATCTATGGAAAGTTCTATGTTGAGACCAGTCAGTCAATCCTTGATGTGATGGTTGTGCTTGTAAATCCCGATGTTCATGCACGTCCTATTGTGCCAAAAAGATGACTTGGATGGTGGACAAAATAAAAACAGTTGCCATCAAGGTGTAAGTTGTTTACACTATGTTGTTGACGGGTGTCAGGCTACTGTCCTACTGTTGACGAGATGTAGTGTAACATTTCCTGCTATGAAAAGCATGGATTAAAAAAGGTATTCCTCGAAAATTGATCGTCATTGCTTATCCTATGAAAGTCTGCGACCGGTTGAAATTTCTTCTTATGGAAATATATCCAAAAATCACTCCAAACTGGACGTGTGTGGCCGGTCGGAAGCAGTAGTTTCCCTGGGCTGTAAGGTCACACAACACTATTAACATAGTTAATAACATAAACTCACAAAACAGTGTTTTCTTTAACTATTCTACACTTTGGTGCACTGATTATATTTCCATCTTATGTTGATTTGTCCAGTGATCTTGTGTAATACCAAACTATGCACTTGGTTGTATTTCTTTTACTGTATGTAGAAATCAAACATAATTGTCTGCTGAAATTCTCTCGACCAATGTGCTATATACGGCTAGTAATTTAT